CGACGCCCTCCCCCCCCTCCCCCACCCCCTTGGTGAGACTGGAAAAAGACCAACGTTTCCACGAGGATCAGGTTCCATCATGACATTTGTGAGCGGTAACGATTTGGACGAACACAATAGACACAGCTTAGATCGAGGGTTCCAAAAGCAATAAAGTACATTTGTGAAGAGGACATGTAGTTTTTCATCAATCTTTCGAATGGCAAGAATACTTTATAAAAATGAATCACAGACATTCCCAGTAAGCCAAAAAAGAAAAACCAACTAACAACCGGACAATAAATACGCCAAATGCCAAATGAAATAACGAGGACGTCAGTCACATGGTCATAAATTTAACGAAATAAGAAACAAATAACAACTATTTCGATGATTTCTATACACGGTTTGTCTTTCATCAATGCTTGATAGACGTGGGAGAGCTGGGGGACTCAAACGCGACTGGTGAAGACAAGAAAGCTGACAGACCGAAAATGTTTTCCGTCCCAATCGGCAAGATTTAGAAAGCAGCAGTTTCGCTCCAGTTGATGATGGCCAGCCCTGAGTGAATGGGAGTCAGTACCTCAGCAGAGAGACCGAGATACAAACAAGACCTCCCAATGCAGGAATCGTGAGCCCTCTTACTTTTTCTCAGTTTTAGTAAGAGATTTACGGCACTTGAAGCACAATACGGTCATATAAGTGGCGAAGATTATAGAGGTGTTACAAGAGAATAGCAAACACAATATAAAAGAGGAGTGAAAATGGCGAAATGGTATGGGTTTAACGCCCCTATCAACACTATTAAGTTATTTAAGAGGCGGGACCTCCTAGTTTAACGCCCGTCTCCGAAAGGACCGCAAGTGGGAAATTCGTGTAAAGTGCCTTTCCCAAGGACACAACGTCGGACCGAGCTGAGGCTCGAACCCCCGAAGCCGCAATCTCAGGATAACGAGTCCGGTAGCCTAACCACTAGGCTACCGACGTCACTAAAAGAGGAGTGATCAGGACAATTATGAGGAGATGTTTGATTTTTTTTAAAGGAGCAAACCGCATCACAGCTCCCGCCAACCACCCGCAGCCCCTTTGCGTGAAACGGCCTTAAGCCTTGTAACCATATCACCACACGTGCCTATACAGAATAAACATACAAACGCTGTTAGATCATTGCGAGGTGGGAGGTCATCAGATTAAAAAACACAGATCTCTCGATCTGATTTGGCCAAGAATGGTGAAAAGAGTAGTTGTGAGACTCGAAAAAATTCCTCAAACATCTCAATCTCGACAACATCCCTTTGGGGATTCAAGCCTGAATCATTCGAGAATAAGTCCAGCATGACATCAACAGAGCAGCTTTCTGTGAGGGTAAAAAAACGAGGAAAGACAGATCACGCAACAAGACCATCATCGGGACACAGAGAGAGACTGGCAAGCATGTTAGAAAGGCGTTTTCCTGTCGGAATCAAGGGCTACGACACACACACACACACACACACACACACACACACACACACACACACACACA